TCCGGGGGAGAGATGCCCGGGACGGGGCCCAGTGGGCCGGAGCGGGCTGCGATTGGCCGGGGGCGTATCGGGGCGTGGCCGCGAGCGGCCGCGAGCGGGTGGGGCCGGAGGCGGCGGGAGTCGCGGCTGCTGTCCGTGCACCTGAGAGCCGACGCCCGGGTCTTCGAAGCTGCGCTCGCAGCAGTCCCCGTCGCCATGAGCCGCTTCAAGGTGTCCAAGTTCCGACACACGGAGGCCCGGCCGTCCCGCCGCGAGGTGAGCCCTGCCCGCGGGTCCCCGCGCCTCCGCCCCTCCCCCTCCCCCGGACCCCACGCGGGAACCCCCCGAGCCCGCCTGCCCCGGGGCGCCCCCTTCAGGCCCGGGCCGGGTATCCCGGCTGTTCCGTCGCACCCGGAGGACAGAATCTGGCGCTCCCTGGCCGGTCTCTCTCTGGCCGCCCCTTCAGCGCCGCGGTCCGCGGGCTCGCCCGCCTCGCCCCGGGACCCCCGAAGCGGTGCAGCCCGCCCGGCCGGGCCGAGGCTTGAGGCCTGCAAGGCTTCCTGCCTTTTCGGCTTCCGGTCGGCCTCGCCGGAGACCGCGGCTCGGGTTCTGCTGGCACCAGCTCCTCCCTGCCGCCACGATCGGCCCTGCCCGGGGCTGGGGTGTGGGAGAGATGCCTCCCTCTCCGCTGGCCTTGGTGAGTCCGGGTGTGTCAGCTGAAGAGCGGGAGCCCCTCAGACAGAGGCGCGCCCCTCCCTCGGGTTTCCGCCGGCGCTTCCTTCTCTCGCGGCTGGCGCAAGAGCTGCTCTTCTCTTACTGGGGTGATGCTGCCAGGGGATGGGTGGGGTCTGGGGAGGCCCGAGGAGGTGGAGCCCAGAGGAAGAGCTGAACCAGGTGTTGGGGGGCGCCTCGGACCCCCGAAAGGGCAGCCGGCTTGATGAGGGGTGTGCTTCAGAGATGATGCCAGTCCTGGTCTGCTGCTCCCAATGTTATTTGGAAGGCAGGCTTAGGAACTGACTTCTAGTAGCCCCATCAGGAGCAGACGCATAGCAGGGTAGCCTGGGGCAGCAGCCCAATTTTCATCCTTTGGACAATATTTCCTCTCTACTTCCGTGTGCTCCTGGAACCACAACTGTGAACACCACAGCACTTTCCTTCCTCTGTACTGCTTACAGTCTTGTGAGGGAGACATACAGCAAGCAGACAGGCCTGCAAGGGCACTGCAAGTTTTAGTAAGTGCCCTGAAGAACACACAGGAAAGGCTGGAATGGAGATGGAGGGGAATGGCCACATGCAGGTTAATCTCCATAGAGTGGTCAGGGAAGGCTGCAGGGAGGAGGTGACATTTAAGCTGAGGTCAGGAAGGTGAGAAGCAGCCAGCTACAAGAAGAGTGGGGTGGGAAAGAGCCTGGTGGAGGAATGAAAAGTGGGCCAGAGTGGATGGAGGGCAGTGATGGGGAAGCAGGGTGTCAGGTGAATCCAGAGAGGTCCTGCAGAGCCCAAGGACCACAGGAAGAGGTTGGGGTTTTTTTGAGTGCAGTGGGGAGCCATTGCACTAAAAGGTTGAAAGCAAAGCAAAGGGTGGAGAGGTGCTCAGATTTGCATTAATACTGTCTTTCTGAGTGCAGTAAGCACTCCTTGAATGGATCTGGAGTATACTTGATGGGCCTTGGGGCTTGTCCCAGGTGGGCTTTAGTTCAGCAAGGTAAACAGACAGGCACGGGACCAGGGATTACAGAGAGAGCTTTAAAAACAGTTTAGATTAGGGAGATGGGAGGACAGGTGATCTGTTCTCCTTTTCAAAGATATTTCCTGTCACTCTATTTGTACAGTAAACATGAAATAATGCAAGATGATAACACAGGTGAAAATTGAAATAGAAACTTGCATGGAGGAGGCGGTTTCCAGTGCACTGTGGGTGGGTAGGTTGGGAAACAAGGGTGTTCAATTTTCAGGTGGCAGGGATGAGTGTGACACAGTGCTTTGATACCAACAGAGAAAACGTTTGGACCTTGATGATCTTAGTTTCAGAAAGAATGCTCCTTTGCCCCTCCGTATGTGGGGGTGTTAACATTATTGCCTTTTCTCAGGGGTGCATTGTTCATCTTTCTCTGAGACTTTGTGGAGGAGAGGCCTTGATTCTTCCCCTTTCTGAGCTTGAGTGTTTTTCTCCTGGGGCTTGCAAGGAGACCCCTATACTTGGTAGAGGCCTTCAGCGGTGCCTTGGAGGAAGTTGAGTCTGTCTTTTGTTTTAGGTGCTCACTTCTGCTTTCTCTGCTTCTCTCTCTCCCTTTTAAAAGAAACAACCCCCTGGCCTTTTGACTTCATTTATCCTGAGCTTCCCTTCTGACAATCTTCTCCCCCTTATTAGAGAACCGATTTAATAGACCAAATTACCCCCCTTATAACTTAGGTTATCATTTCAATAATATTTTGAATATCCTAAGGGAGTACGTGAGTGGGGACAGGGTTAGATCCAAAGGAATGCGTTTCTAATGGAGCAGCCCCTGCTTTAGTTATGAGCAGAGACCTGGCCGTCACAATTCTTATTCTTTATTTTCAGGCCTGGATCAGTGACATTCGAGCAGGAACCACACCCTCATGTGGGAACCATATCAAATCCAGCTGCCACTTGATTGCATTTAACTCTGACCGTCCAGGTAGGGAGGTGGACATGGATGTGGATGGAGATTCAGACATTGTCATCCTAATTAGGATGGGGCGGAAGGACAGGCTCATTTCAGGCTGGAGGCTTGGGGGCTCCTCGTGGGGCTCAGAGGTCAGCACCATGTAGGGCCTTACACCCCTATAAACTGGTTAATGTGTGATGATCAGATTGGTTCTGATCAACCAAGTATACACGAAGTGGTGTATACTTTGAATAAACCACACTGGCTGTGGGTTTTTTGTTTTTTTTTTTTTAAGATTTTATTTATTTATTTGAGAGAGAGAGACAGTGCAAGTGGGAGGGGCGGAGGAAGAGAGAGAGAGAATGTCAAGCAGACCACACTGAGCGTGGAGTCTGATGTGGGGCTCGATCCCAGGACCCTGAGATCATGACCTGAGCCGAAACCAAGAGTCATATGCTTGACTGACTGGGCCACCCAGGCGCCCCTGGCTATGGTTTTTAAGAGATTGGCCAGGAGGACAAGGAGAGGACTGTCCCGTTTGTTTTTAGCTGTCCCCATGTGCTACCCACTCCTCATCTGGAGGTCTGGGATTGGCTGGAGTCAATAGGAACACCAAGATTTGAAAAGTTCCCATGTTGGGGCGCCTGGGTGGCTCAGTCGTTAAGCGTCTGCCTTCGGCTCAGGTCATGATCCCAGGATCCTGGGATTGAGCCCCGCATCGGGCTCCCTGCTCAGCGGGAAGCCTGCTTCTCCCTCTCCCACTCCCCCTGCTTGTGTTCCCTCTCTCGCTGTGTCTCTGTCAAATAAATAAATAAAACCTTTAAAAGAAAAAAAAAAGTTCCCGTGTTAGTGGGGACTTTTTTGGTTGCTAGTGATAACTCGGACCTCAAACTGACTTAAACAAAACTTGTTTACTTCCTTGGCTGGTATAAGTAAGACGTCCAGAGGCTTTAGGCAGAGCTGTATCCAGAGGCTCACACATGCCATTGGCCCTGACCTGTGTCCTGTCCTTCAGCTCAGCTGCCCTTGGGTGATGGCTTCTTTCTCAGGGAAAGCTGGGAAAAGTGGCCACTGGTGGCCCAAAGCTGATCTCATACGACCCACAATGCCAGAAAGAGACAACCTCTTTCTCCAGTATCTTCTGTACATCTGATGTCACAGCAGGTTCTTTTGTAGGGTAAGAAAATAATCTTGGACCAATCACTGTGTCCAGAGAGGTATTATTTTATGATTGGTGGAGGCTCTGGGAAGGTCCAAGGCTGAGCTTTTGGGTCTCGTGTCCTCTGGGAGCCCTGGGCAGCAAATGGTTCCCATTAAGACTGGAGTCAGAGCCCCCGTGTGTTTGACAGGTGTGCTGGGCATCGTGCCTCTGGAAGGCCAAGGAGAGGACAAGAGACAGGTGACCTACCTTGGCTGCCATTCAGGTGAGTGGAGACTGGACCCAGGAAGTCTAGAACTCACTCCTCCCTCCCTGGGTATAGGGATTCATACTCACCTGGTTCCACGGTCCCATGGCTTGCCAGGTTCCTCCTGTTGTCCTCGCTATACCTTTGTACAGCGAAAGCTATATTGGAAAGCTGGGTCCTGGTTGAGAATTGCACTTGGGCAGAGAGAGGGGAAGCTGAGTGCTCCAGATCGTCCAACTGAGAGGGGGGGATGTGCCCTGGCCAGCACCAGGCTCCAGGCTGGTGCCGTGGAGTCCACTGTTGAGGACTCAGTCCTATGGGGTTCTTAGCCCCGCAACCTCTTCTGGAGCCCAGCAGACCACCCTTCACCACCAGGCCTCCTCCCCAGCCAGGCTGCTCAACGCCCTTCAAGGAGGGGGCTGGCTGGGCTTCAGGGCTGGAGACGGGCCCTCACAAAGAGAGCTTTTGTGTGCTGCAGCTGCTTCTGGGCGCTCCCGGCAGCCCGCCTGGCAGCCCGCCCGCTCCCAGGGAACAGTTCGCTCTCCCTGGCCAGCTGCTGCAGCTGCGGGCCAGCCCATCAGGCTTGCCTTCCTGGCCGCCTGTTGGGTGGCCTTGGGGGAGGGAAGGGGTCTGACCCTTGGTCCCCGGTCTGAGTGTGCAGCTCAGTGTAGGGGTCCAGGTGATGAGAACAGAAGCCAATAGAGTAACAGTGGTGAAGACCGGTCAAGAGCTCTTTATGTGCTGAGAACGTTGTCTACACTTTCTCGTTTTATTCCTTCTTAAAGTCTTTTACAACTTTATTGAGGCATCATTTATATACCATTAATATGACTTGTTTTGAGTGAGGGATTTGATGACTCTTATGGAAGTGACAGAGTTGGGTATCCAAAACCCAATTTTAGAACATTTCCCCAGAGGATCCTCATGCGCCTTTGTGGTTAATCCATTTCCACCTCCAGCACCGAAGCCTCAGGCACTGGTTGATCTGCTTTCTGCCTCTGCTGCCAGGGTCTGCAAGCTACTGTCCCGGCCACATCTGGCCGGCTGCCTGTCTTGGTAAATAGCATTTTTTGGGACACAGCCACGCCTCTTCATTGACATTCGGCCTGTGACTGCTTTCTCCCAGCAACCACAGAGTTGAGGAGGTGTGACAGAGACCATAAGGTCCCCAAGCCCTCAAGTATTTACCGTCTTACCCTTTTGCAGCAAACGTTTGCCAGCTACAGCCCGGCCTTTTCTGGATGTTTCGCATAAATGGAATGATACCACACATAGTCATTCAAATCTGGCTTCTTTCACTTAGCGTAAAATTTGAGATTAATTTGTGTTGTAACAGGTGGAAGAAGTCTGCTTTTTTTATCCACTCTTACTCCTTTTTTTTTTTTAAAGATTTTATTTATTTATTTGAGACAGAGATAAAAGGAGAGAGAACACGAGAGGGGGGAGGGTCAGAGGAGAAGCAGACTTCCCACTGAGCAGGGAGCATGATGCAGGGCTCGATCCCGGGACTCCAGGATCATGACCTGAGCCGAAGGCAGTTGCTTAACCAACTGAGCCACCCAGGCGCCCTCTTACACCTTTTTGAAGAAAATTTTTAAATGACCCATTTTTTAGCTAACAAAACTAAGGCTCAAAGAGATTAGGAGCCTACCAACACTGGACTTGGAACCAGGGTCTGTCTGACTCCTGTATTGTTTTTTTGTTTCTTTTGTTTTTTTTTAGATTCATTTATTTGAGAGAGAGAGAGAATGTGTGTGCGCACATGCATTGGGAGAGGGGCAAAGGGAGGGAGAATCCTGGAGCGGACTCCCCACTGAGTGTGGAGTCAGACTCAGGGCTCGATCCCAGGACCCCGAGATCATGATCTGAGCCAAAACCAAGAGCGGGCTGCTCGATTGACTGAGCACCTCGGGCACTCCTGGTCCCTGTATTCTTGATGCATGTTACCCATGGGGGAGCTGCCCCAGGTTGCTGATGTCTATCAGGTAGTGAGCCCCATTACTGGGGGACCTTTGAGGAGAAGCTGGACCAGGCCTCTTTTAATACGGTGTAGCTCACTGTGGCCTCAACTATTCACAGCCTTGCCAGAATGCTGCTCTGGGGGCACCTCTAGTTCCTCAGAACCTGCCTTCAAGGCAGCAGGCACCAGTCTGCCCTCTGAGGTGCCACTGGTGGGGGAGAGTGCAGTGGGCTGGCCTTTAGCTTCTCCCCTGCCTTCGGGGGTGTCTTCTGCCTCCTGGTCAGGGCCAAGTGCCCTTCAGCCCAGCCACCCAGGGGAGCAGAGAGCTGGGAAGCATTTGAAGAGTGTTCCTGCGGTCTGGGCTGTGGGGTGGCTGGGGACCTGCTCCGAGCTGGGAAAGGCAGTGTGGTGCTGTCTGAGGATGTAGGTTCTGAAACCAAACTGACTGCCTGACATCAGTCAGCCTTGCCCCTTCCTAGCTGTGTGGCTCTAAGCAAATTACTTAACCTTTCTATCCTCATGTCCTTGTCCCCCAGTTGGGGATCATGCCATAGTGCCATCCTGAGGGGTTGTTGTGAGGATTTGGTGAGGTAAATGCACATAAAGGACACAGGCCTGCCAGCTCAGCTGGGCACTCAGGTTGGCCACATCACCACTTCTCATTCCCTCGGGAATGCCAGGTTGTTCACACTGGCTGCTGCATCCGGCCTGGGCCCTGCCCTGTCCAGTGCGGAGCCCACAGGCAGGGTGGCAGGAGTTCCAGGAGTCCAGACCAGGGCTGTCCCAAGGGGTGCCTGTCTTCATCTGCCCCTTCTCTCTCTCTCTCTCTTTTTTAAATATTTTATTTATTTGTCGGAGAGAAAGAGAGAGCACAAGCAGGGGAAGCAGCAGAGGGAGAGGGAGAAGCAGGCTTCCTGCAGAGCAGGGAGCCCGATGGGGGGCTCAATCCCAGGACCCTGAGATCATGACCTGAGCCGAAGGCAGCCGCTTAGCCGACTGAGTCACCCAGGTGTCCCTGCCCTTCTCTTTTCTCTTCAGAGTCTCGCTCTGGCCTGAGAGGAAAACATACCTGCTTGACCCCCTGCGGAGTCAGGCAGCAGAAATAGTCACTGCGCTCCTTACCCTGGTGATGCAAGCCTGGCCATCATGCTTACAATTCCCTGCCACACCCCACACTGATCCCTGGCCTCCTCACCCCCCTGGTGAGGTTCAGGAAATGTGGGTTTCCTCTCAGGGCTGTGGCTCACTCGGTGTGCCCCTGTCTCCCTCTCCTGGCCTTCTGGAGCTGAGCAGCTCAGGTTTTTGGGTTGCAAAGAACTGAGACCAGCTCCAGCTTGCTTTAGCCAAAAAGGGATTTAGAAGAGAGCTTCCAGAGCTGAAGGCCTGGGGAGTTTCCAAAACCGAAGGAGCAGCTGGACATGCAGGCCTTAGGAGGGTCCTGGCATGGGAGCTGACGGCTCCCTCCCAGCTGGCTGCCCTCCACCCAGGCCAGTCCCTGAGGCGCCCTGTCACTAGACCTTCTAATTCCTGGTATAATTCCCTTAAGAGAATCTGGCTGCTCAGCCTCGGGTCAGATACACTCTGACCACCCCCCCGGTGGGGACTTGAGGGGCAGAGAACTCCTAGCTTGGGTGTGTCACCCAGGCCCCCGCTTCCCTGATGTCTGACCTGTTCTAGTCCTTCATATTCTTCAGGGCTCACCATGTTTCCTCCATGAAGCTGCCCTGAGCCCTGACCTTCGAGTCCCCGTACTCAGCTTACCTTTTGCTACGTCTGCAGAGATGTGTGTGTGTGTGTGTGTGTGTGTGTGTGTGTGTGTGTCTCGCTGTGGAGGTGCTGAGGGTCTGTCAGGGCTGGGTGGTGTCTGTCCAGTTTGTGAATCCCTCTTGGACCCAGAGCAGGGCTGGCACTCGCATTCATTCACACGTTTGCAGGCCAGGCCCTGCATTGGGCTCTGGATTTGGGGCACATACAGGTGCTTGGTGTTTTGAGGAGCTTCCCGCCTGTCATCGTGCTAACCTCCTGATGCCAGGGCCTTAGCTCATCCTGGGGCGTTGGTACCAAGGCGGGGATTTCCAAGGTGCCTTTCCTCGTGGACTTTCAGCCTGCCACCATGTGGGCAGAGTTGTCCCATCTCTGAAACCCTGGGCTGTGGTTCCCCACCTTGGGGAGATATCATATGGGGCTGGAAACAAAGTTCTGGTAAGTTCTCGCCAGGCCTGTGTCAGCCATTGCTCTCCTGCAGACCTGGTCACGGACTTGGACTTCTCTCCCTTTGATGACTTCCTCCTGGCCACGGGCTCAGCTGACAGGACGGTGAGTGGAGCTGCTGGACAAGCTGCTCGATGTCCCTCCCAGTCCCCTCCAGGGCCCTCGGCCCCTGCACAGGCCTCCAGAGCCGGGCTAGCCCGGAGTCTCGGTTCCTCGGCCCACACCAGCTCCCTTGTGTTCTCGTGCCCTTGCCGGGAGCCGTGGACCTCGCTTGCTGTTCTGCTGCTGGGCTGCCTGAGGAGTACAGGGCTGGGGTGGTAGGGGACACTGGAGGACATGGAGCAGAGCCCCTGCCCCATGTCTCCCCGCCCCCCCCACACCCCTGCTTCTAATGACACCCCGTGATCCCGGGCTGGATTGCCCTGTCTTTCCTCACGTGGGATACACAGCCCCCATGCCCAAGCACAGTCCCAGGGTTGGGGGCAGCCCTGGGCTCACGGATTTGCTCTTTCCCGTAGGTGAAGCTGTGGCGCCTGCCTGCCCCTGGCCAGGTGCTGCCCTCGGTGCCCGGGCTGGTGCTGGGCCCAGAGCCTGTCCAGGTAGAGGTGCTGCAGTTCCATCCCACCACGGACGGTGTCCTGGCGAGCGCAGCGGGCATGGCCGTGAAGGTCTGGGATGTAGCCAAGCAGCAGGCCCTCACAGGTACCCGTGCCCGGCAGCCCCTGTCTGGACGGCACTCCGTCGCTCTAGGTGTTCGGTACCGTGAATTTTAGAGTATGTGTGTCTGTGGGAGGAAGGGTTGTGAGATTCTAGCAGATGTATCACAAATGCTGCATCCCACTTCCTGTAGGCATCTGTTTTCATCTTGTGATCTTGTTTTTCCTCCGTATGCCTAAGTACCTTCCTTCTACTGTTATTGCTTAAGTGGTGTGTCACTTTGGTTTTGAAAACAAACTTCTGGCTGCTTTTCTGCCGGACAGGGATTCTGCTGCCTTGAGCCCCTTCCCCCAGGCTTCTGCTCTCGCTTTCACGGCTGAGCCTGTCTTCGTGTGTTCCAAGTCTGGCTGCTCTAAGCCACCCCCACAGCCGGGGGGCCTTACAAACAACGGGAATTCATTGCTCGTGGTTCTGGAGCCTGGACATCCAAGATCAGGGTGCCGGCCGACTCAGTGTTTGGTGAGAACCTGCTTCCTGGGTCACCGATGGCCGTCCTGCTGTGTATTCTCACAGCTGAAGGGACGAAGGGGCGCTCAGGGCTTCTTATCAGGTCACTGATCTGGTTCAGGAGGCTCCACCCTCGTGACCCAGTCACCTCTCAGAGGCCCTGCCTCCAGACACCATCACAGCGAGAGTCAGCCTTCAACACGTGGGGGGACACAAACATTCAGACCAGCATAGATGATGACAGCTTTGGGTCAGATTCCTCAGTGAATGGTTATGACCCTGTGATCCATGTGGACGCCTGGTATTCTGTGCTGACACCACGGCATCATTTCTGCTGAGGCCCTGACACTCTCATCCCCTTTTTAGGGCGAAGACACAGGCTCCGAGAGTTAAAAGACGGCCTTGCCTTCTAGGGCTGTGCGGAGTGTCTAGGGTGGGCCAGGCTCACCAAGGTGAGGTCCCCACCTCTGGGGCTGGGACAAAGAGGCCAACTGAGGGCCGTCGGTAGTGTGAACCACCCAGCTCCTGGTACTATCCAGGAGACCAGCCTGACCTTTGAAGCAGAGGGGACCAGGTAGTCTGTCATCAGGGGGGTCACCCAGCTGTAACTGCTGTGTCTCAAGCCCTCGCAGGCCCGGCGCTGTGCTGAGGGCTTCCTGCCGACTCAGCACAGTGGTGCCACTGGGCAGCGCTGCCATTCCCATGTCACAGATGAGGTTAAACAACAGGCCCAAGGCCACAGAGCAGGTGGGCAGCAGGGCTGGAGTTAATCCCAGGGCAGGAAACCCGGGCAAAGTGGTTATCTGCTGCTCCAGAACAGATTATCACAGAACGTAGAGGCTTAAAATACTTATGAACATTTATTATCTCACAGTTTCTGAGGGTCAGAGATTTGGGAGCTGTTCAGCTGGGTGCTTCATGCTCAGGGTCTTTTATGAGGTTGCAGTTGAGATGTTGGCTCCCTCATCAGAAGACTTGATTGGGGCAGGAGGCTCGGCTTCTCAGAGGGTTCACGGATACAGTGCTGGCTGTGAGCAGGACACCTCAGTCCCCACCACGGGGCCTCTCCCTGGGCTGCGTGAGCTCCCCGCAGCATGGCGGCTGGCTGCCTGTGGTGGACCATCCACGGGGGGCGGAGCAGGGAGGAAGCGGCAGTGCCTTGCATGGCCCAGCTTTGGAAGTCACATGCCTCCACTTATACCAGACTCTCTTCGTTAGAACCGAGTTACTAAGTCCTGCTCACACTCAAGACGAAGGGAATTAGGCTTCACGTTTTGAAGGGAGGGCGCGTTAGATCCCTAGGGCTGCTGTAATGAAGGACAACAACCTGGATGACTTCAAATAACAGGAAACTTCCTGTCTCATAGTCTGGAGAACAGAAGTCTGAAACCCAGGGATCGGGACAGGGCTGGTGCCTTCCGAGGGCAATGAGGGCAAGTCTGTCCCAGGCCCCCCAGGCGTCCCTCGGCTTGTACGTGGTGTCTTCTCCGTGTCTTTGCATCGTCTTTTCTCTGTGCACGTCCGACTCTGTGTCCAAATTTCCCTTTTCACAAGGACCAGTCCTACTGGACTAGGACCTACCCTAACGATATCAGCTTAAGTTGATCTACCACAAAGACCCTGTTTCCAAAGAAAGGTACAGCACAGGTGCTGAGGATTAGGACGTCAGCATTTTTTTTTTTAAGTTTGTTTATTTTATCTTTTTTAAGACTTTATTTCTTTATTTGACAGAGAGAGGCTCAGCGAGAGAGGGAACACAAGCAGGGGGAGTGGGAGAGGGAGAAGCAGGCTTCCCGAGGAGCAGGGAGCCCGACGTGGGGCTCGATCCCAGGACCCTGGGATCATGACCTGAGCCGAAGGCAGATGGTTAACGACTGAGTCACCCAGGCACCCCTATTTGTTTATTTTTAAGTAATTTCTCTACCCAGTGTGGGGCTCGAACTCCCTACCCTGAGACCGAGAAGTCGCATGCTCTTCCAACATTGCCAGCCAGGCGTCCTAGCATCTTTTTGTGGGTAGACAATTCAACCTATAATAGGATGAGCATCACATAATTTGTGGACATATTTTAAAACTGTCACACTGGGGGAGGAGCAGGGATGGCCCAAGCAGATGCCCAGGGTGGGAATGTATGTGGCTTGGCTATGGGCTGGTGTGTCAGTCGGGTTGTGTTGGTGAGTGACTGGAAGTAAGCCTGGGTGGGACGTGAAAGCCAGGCTGAGTAAGGAGCAGGGAGGCTCAGAAGGTTTTTGAGTAGAAGCGTGGCCTGATGCAGGCAGGGCTGAAGGAAGAAGTCCAGGCGCAGTGCAGCGGGTTTGGAAGGAGGTGCTGCCCTTTCTCCTCCTGCTGGAGAGAGAACCTTGCAAGCTGCTGCCTCTACCCTGGGCGTGACCCCAAGCTAGGCCCTCTTGCGCCCACTTCCCTGGTGCCCGCATTGCCCAGGACAGGGTGGGGAGACCCTGGGCCCCCTCCTGACCTTGGCTGCTTCTCTACAGAGCTGGCAGCCCATGGGGACCTGGTGCTGGGTGCCGTCTGGAGCCGGGACGGAGCCCTGGTGAGCACGATGTGCAAGGTAAGCAGCTGGGCGGTGAGTCTTGGGGAAGTGCCTACGGTGGGGACTGAGGCGTGCCCGGCTCTGTGCCGGGATATCGTGTTGAGGAGCACATGTCCTGGGCTGTACCTGGCGGGCTTGGTGAGATTTATGGGGCAGAAAAGCACTCAGGTCAGGGGCATTTGTGAATCCCCTCACCTCAGCTGCCCTCACACTTTCTGCTTCACACCTGCATTTGGAAACCCCCACACCCCTTCAGTATCAGGGCCTGGGGTCCCTCTCAGATAGGGGCTCAAGTTAAGCCCCATGCCAACCTTCCCCCCGGCCCTGTTTTGTGTACTGGACTCCCCTCCATCCTCAGCCAGCCTCATCTGGCTGCTGTGTGCTTTGTCCACACTACTGTCCTTTCCAGAGCGTCGTGTGGAGCAGCCTCCATACACAGGGCTTTGTGCTGGCCCTCACACCCAGTCAGCAGGCCTCGGTGTCCTCACTGACGCCAGGCCCTGTGCCCACCTGGTCCCCTGCTGGTGAGAGTAGCAGACATGGGCCAAGGCCTCTTACAGATGAAAAGATCAGTGTGAGCCTTGACACGGGCTCTGAGAGAGGGACATGAGGAGCTCTGAGCTGGTTGAGAGGCCAGGAGGCCTGGCCTCAGGGAGGGGCCCCAAAGGAAGAGTTACTGGGGTTGGGTGGGGAGAGCTGGGCAGTGTAGCGACAGGTGCAGGCCTAGAAGGGGCTGGGTGCAGAGAGCAGGGGGTGAGGCTGGAGTCGTGTGTACAGGGTTATGCTTACCGTAGAAGCAGCAGGAGACCCTGGGGCGTTTAAAGCCAGAGGGGGCCGTGGCATGAGGTGAGTGGATTTGTATTTTGAAAGCTCCCCAGTTGCAGTGTGGACAGAACATTGCAGGGACGGGCAGTATCTAAAAGGGAGGACAGGACGCCTCCTGGGGGTAGTAGAGGCCCTGAAGGAAGGGTCAGAACCTGTGTGGGAGACGGAAGGAGCCACGCCGTGGCAGGAAGGAAGCCAAGACAGGGCTGGCGGTCTATGCTCTGAGGGCCAGGGTGACAGGGTCCCCGAGGGAGGTGGCTGGGGACACCAGGAAGAGTCGGCTGAGGGGTGAATAGCGCTTATCTGTTGGATTGGGGAGATGGGTGAGCTTCGGGACCTTTGGGGATGTGCTGCGTCCTAGAGCCACACATGCAGTATGGAAGGACATGGGAGTCTGCAAGGGCTCCTCTGGGGGCTCGCTGGGGGAGGGTGTCAGGGGCGTCTCTGAGGGAGAAAATGTGGGGTCTGCATACTTGGGGAATCCTCTTTTCAAATTTCTCTGCCTTCTTAGAAGCGCCATTTCACAGGGTTTTTTCTAAGATTTATTAATTTATTTTAGAGAGCGAGAGCATGCACGAGCAGGGGGAGGGGCAGAGGGAGAGGGAGAATGTCAGGCAGGCTCCCCACTGAGCTTGGAGCCCTATACAGGGCTCAATCTCAGGACTCTGAGATCATGACCTGAGCTGAAATCAGTCAGACACTCAACCGACTGAGCCACCCAGACACCCGCCCACCCAGTTTTTTAAATCAGCTTTTTCCTCATTTGGTTCATCAGACAGTAGGTTCTAGACATTGGCCTGTGCTCTGGGGTCCATGGGGCTGCCAGCCCCCAAGGAGCCCCTGCTGGAAGGCGGGGTGGTCACACAGCATGGTGTGGTTTGCTTGCTCAGGTTCCACGCGGGCAAGCATGGCTTCCCAGGGACAGTAAGGTTGGGCCTGCCCTCACTGAGGAGGAGGGGACAGGCGTTCCAGGCAGCTGGACAGGGTTCTGGGCTGTGACCGGCCCCTCCAATGAGAAGCCCTCTGTGCCCTGCATTTCCACGCCCTTCACTCGTGTGTGAGAGGCGCACTGAAGGAGACCTAGAGGGAGGGACAGAGATGCTCTCGGGAAATTCTTACTTTATGGTGACCAAAGTACAGTCGTTTGTGCTTGTTTTACTAATTTGGGAGAGCAGGGGAAAACTAAAGAAGAAACATCACCTGCGATCCTCCCACCCAGGGGCAACACCAGTCACCATTTTGACATCTTTCTGTCTCATCTTTTCCGAGGCATCTCTTTCTGTATGTGTGGAGATCATGCTCTCCAGGTTACTCTACCCTGCATTCTGTTCTGCATAATAAATATGTTCTCTAGTTCATCAGTAACTAAACAACCATCATACAAAATATCGTATAGGTTTACCAATTTGCTGTTTTTATAAATTGTAATATCTGAATATATTTGTATATAGATTTTGTTTCTTGGGGCACCTGTGTGGCTCAGTCGGTTAAGCGTCTGCCTTCGGCTCAGGTCATGATCTCAGGGTCCTGCGATCGAGCCCCTTATTGGGCTCCCTGCTCAGTGGGGAGCCTGCTTCTCCCTCTCTCTGTGCCACTCCCCTGCTCTTCCTCTCTCTGTCAAATAAATAAAATCTTTTAAAAAATATTTATTTATTAGAGAGCTAGAGAGAGAGCAAGCACGAGCAGTGGGGAAGGAGAGAGGGAGAAGCAGACCCCCTGCTGAGCAGGGAGCCCAATGTGGGGCTTGATCCCAGGACCCTGAGATCATGACCTGAGCCGAAGGCAGACACTTAACCGACTGAGCCACCCAGGCACCCCAAACAAACAAAATCTTGCAAAAAATAAAACGTGTGAAACCACTAACTTCACAGAAGATTAACGGAACATCAAGAGGGAAACTTCTCAACATGACCAACACAAGAGAAAAGAAGGATAAACCGCCGCACACGACCAGACAAGAAGTAAAGCGGCTGCCGCCGGCCAAACTCAAGCTCCCAGCACCACCACATCGAAACAAACAACAAGCCACAGACAAAACGGAAATCCGGAGGCACCCGCACCGACCACCAAAACTGGAGTTCCCGAACCAGCCCTCGCGCTGGATCTGGCAAATAAAGAAAATCGACAAAAAAATAAACAAACAAAATAAAAAAAGGAACCAGCCAGAGGCCCAGCTAACAGGCTAGGAACATTGGTAAGGCCGTCCAAAGATTTTACCCACCGCCCTGCCAGAGCACAAAAACAACCTCTCAGGGACGCAAAGCGTTGCAGGCTCGACAAGGAGAACAGAACTACAAGGCAGTACGAAAGCACACCAGCCCGCTAAGCATAAGCGCAAAAAGCAAAGAAGAAAGCCAAAACAACCACGCCCCAAGCAAACCAAACACCCGCCACTGGCGCAAAGCCCAGCCACCGGGCGACAAACCCTCCTCTAGCCTAAAAACACCACTGCCACCGGCAAGGGAGAAAAACCCAAGCCAAATCACAACGAGGAAAAAGAAAAAAGCGGGGAAAGGAAAGGCCCATGGGACCCCAAGGCACAGAGCAACCCGGCACGGAAAACGCCAAAATCACAACAGAAGCGGCACAAGCGGGCACCACCCATAGAAAGGTGAGCACCAGACAAGAACCACACCAGCCATCGGAAAGACAACCCGGAATGCACCAGAGCCCAAGACACGGAGCCAGGAAGCCAGCCGAGCGCCTCAGGCCAAGCGCGGGACACCTCGGGTAGAGCGCTCTGGCAACGAGAAAACACACATGCCTCCAAGCGGGGTCCAACAACCCGCACACCACGCAAATATAAGCACAACACGCAACACACCCAACGGAATAGCAGCAGCCACCGAGACCAGGGGAGACAAGGGCAAAGAGAAGAAGCCCAGCTGCCACGGACAGGCACGGAAACAGGCCCCCCACCACAGCCACAGACAGGAAGGCAGAAGGACAAGTGTCGAGAAGCGGAAAACAGACAACGACCGGGACAGCAGGCACACAGGCACCCCATTTCAACAAAGCGCACAGCTCAACATAGCCGAGCCAAATCTTGCCAAGGCTACAAAGAGACGGAAAACCAAACAGGGAGGAAACCCACCAGTTCTGAAAACAGCAGAGGAACCAAAGAAAACAGAACGGAAAAGAAGATGGGGCCCACAAAAGGAACATACAAGACCAAGGGAGAGCAAAGACCGTGCTGACGGGCCCACAGAAGCCCAGCTGACACAATGAGAAAGAAAAACAAAGCAAAACAAAAACAAACTCAGGAATAACAAAGACACCACAACAAGCAAAGGTGCAAGCTCCAAGCAACCGTGACCAGAAAGAGAAACTAAAGCAAGGGGAAGAAATGTAAGGTTTGGGGAAAGAATGCACAGAGTTAACTGAGAAAGAGAACAAGAGCGAGACAAACACCACGACAAAGGGAACGGACCCACAGAGAACAACAAGCCCGGATGAGCAGGGAGCCCCAGAAGAGACACCAACCCGCAAAGCCACCAACAGGACCCGACCCCAAACCAGTCGCGTAACCAACCAACCCACCCACGCCCCCGATCCCCTGAGGAAGGATAAGTGTGATGAGGCCACAGCTCAGGCCAGTGGAACTTCCTGTCCCCTCTAGACCCAGAGAACCTAAAGTTGTAGGGAGGAAAAATGCAGATTTCCTGAGTGGGTCGCTGGAGTGGAGCCCTCCCCCCTGCCCTGCTGTTCATGGACCTAGGTGCTCCACCTGTGGGGACACAGCACCTTACAATGCTGTTGTCTGGGTGCAGCGTCCTGGAGGGGTCGCTGTCCCAACAGGGTGTGACCTCCACTCCCATGACCTGTCAGCGCCGTCTCGGGGGGCACCACAGTCCCGCGTTCACTGCCACCCTCTTCTATAAAGGGGGGATCCTCAGAATCCTGGGTGGGTGTGTCATATGCCAAAACCTTTGGGGAATGTGCAGAAGGGGAGGTCACCCCCATGACTGAAGGTCAGGAGGAGGTGCCTGTGGGTTTGTCCTGAGCATGTTGAGGGAGCCAGTGAGTGGGCCTGCCCTCAACAGGAAGGAGCCTGAGCTCTGCTTAGCCTTTGGTGGCATGCTGGGCTCTTGGTTTACACACAGGGCTGCCTGAGTCGGGTGGGGTGTGGGAAACACTCTGCTTCCTCCCAGAGCCTCCCGCTGTCCACACCATCTCCCACCTGGCTGGCTGGT